CGGGTGATAAAGGGGGGGAGGGGCAAAAAAATGACCATAACGCAACAATACGCGGTATAGACAACCGCCCCCGAGCTGACCGCGCGTGGACTCATCACAACGGTTGGGAACGCGCTTTCGCCATTCTCGAAGCAAAGCGCACGGGGACCATCATTCCTCGACAGCATGAGAAGGTGATCCAGGATGGTGTCCATCACTGGACTAGCGGGGAGCCTGTTAAGACTTCCGAAACCTCATTTCTGGGAAATTCATGCGATGTCACGGCCCAAGCTGCCAGATAAAGCGTGAAGTACCATACCCCGTATATCATGTTGTTTGATTGGGGCCATTTGATCCTTGCCGTTATGGAGAACTCTCAGGAAAGAGAGACGGCACCTACTGCCGGTTGACAGTGGTCTCTGGCCGAGGGCAGCATCAGTATTGATGCTGGGAAGGGAAAGACCTGGCAGTGGTGGTGTCGGAAGTTGAATCTCCCGACAAAAGAAAAGCAAGGAATGATGCGTCGGGCATTGGGGAAGATGGCCTCTAAAACGAGGAGGAGGAAACTTTTCATGTTTGTAGGGGCAAGGGACTGGCATCAAAGTTGGCACCTTAGATCAGTGATGACTCCAAGGGCCTGAATCCACGTGGGATTCGAATTCCTCCCGAGTCTCGATTGGCAAGTGCTGCCGACGCCCTTGGCCAATTCTATCTAAGCGCTTGGACTGCTACAACGAGCCGGCTTAATCCCAATGGAATCCAGCAGAATGCGTGGCCCGGAATGGCCAAAGCCCACCCTTCGACCTCGCCCTGTGGCGGCAAAGATAGCTTACAAAGCGAGCCGAGCCATGAACCGAAGGCCAGGCGAAGTGTTCAAATGCCTATATGTCGATCAGGATCTCATGAAGACAAGCCCCTTGATGCTCTTGTTTTATGCAAATGACAGTCACCCTCCTGTAGACTATTAAGCCTCTTGGTTTGAATGGGTTTTCTAATGTATATTGCTCTCATGCTTGAAACGCTAAATGATGGCTCTGAACAGGGCTTTTGCAACTGCCTAGTATGGAAATCTGTGCCTTGGGCTGAAAGCAACAAGTACTACAACTGGATGGGCCTAAGGGCACATGAGAACGATGGCAGCTTGCAGACTCATTGCCAAGGACAGACATTGGCACTGAAAGTGGTTGGACCTTTCTCCAGCCACTCCCACACAATATTGTAGATTGATGCTCATGGATGGTTTGAGTGCCAATATGCTCTCTCAGTGGCACTGACAGCTGGATCATCTACAGACGAAGCTATGTGCTCGCTGCAGCACATTGTGGTTTGACTAGAATCTGGTCAATGATATTTACTCCTTCTACTAACGCCAGGACTGAGTTAAGTCTGCTCAAAAGCCATACTTCTTCAATCCAGAAAAGAGCCTTGATTTTGGGGAGGTGCCGGGTTATCTCTCACAGCTCTCACAGGTCGAGGAGATCTTGATCGCTCGTGTTCATGTGCGCGTCCTGGTTTTTTAGTATCAAGGCCAGCAATACAAGTATCGTGGTTGAACGCTTCTACAGTCTGTGGGGGTTCAGGATGCGCGCAACTACCAATTGCGCCTTCGCATCTGGCTGAACGACCAGCCGTATACTGGCATGCCACCGCGGCGGACTGCCCTCGTCAATCACGCACGAAGCGATGACGAGGACCTGGCTTCGGGCCGGTGAGACCCGTGGCTCAGTCTTGTGTCGAATACCCGAAAGTGTCACATCCCTCCGATCAATCAGTGGGAATTGTGATGGAGGCGAGGAGGCAGCGATGGCCTACTGTCGTTATCGAAGCTGGCTGGTCACAGAATAGAGCTGCAAGGCTCATTGAATCAGACGGTATGCCCAGACGACGAAAGGGTTTCCTTACTACCGACAGCTGTCGGCACGGGTAGATTCGCCCAATTATGGAACGACCAACGGGCATGGATGCCTTTATTCCTTCTCGCCCGATCGATCGTGGGAGCCCAGCCCCTCGCATCTTGCTTGAAGACGTGTATAGCATAATGCAGCAGGGTTCACTATGTTCAGGAGAACTTTGACGTTTAGTTTTGTGCTGGGAACAGAAGCGAGACGACTTTTGCTCGAAATTGCTGGCAAAGCTGACTTTCTGGCCGGTACACCTGCCGCTCTTGACGACATCGCTAGACATGTCGGCACTCCACCACGAATGTACGTGGTGGATGAAGCAGCGCATATGACCGAGTGCATGGCTGGAAATTATTTGGATCATGAAGGGAATCCGGTATATGCTGAGATCCATTATCGCCGGGACCACTCTGCCTCTTTACCCCTCCTGTACATCAATCATGTTCAGCGGCGCCTTTACCCGAGTTGATCAAACGCTTCGGTCTAAATGTATATATTGCGGGGCATTTGGCTTTTCCTCAGTCTATATTCCTCGACAATCTCATCGAGAAGCAGCAGCACTTCAAGGCTTTCTTGTTGCTTTGCACGGGTACAAAAACCCAGCCCCATGCTCCTGTTGCTAAAGGAACTTCGCGAGCAACATTGGCGTGGTTTGAAGGTCCCAACCGAGCAGTGAAGATTGTGCTCTTGATTATTGCATCCCTGCTGCAAATCCAAGTTGAGAAGTGGAAGACCAATCCTATACCACATAGCTCTACTCAGGAACAAAATGAAGAAAGTGGTGGTCATTACCGCTGACTCTTTCCAGGGCAAGGAAGAAAGGGTGGCTATCTTCCTGACTACAGTCACAAAACAGAGCGGGCCTGGCTTTGTGAGGGATCCAAAACGCTTTAATATTAGGATTTCCAGACACTGCAACTTTATTATCATTGTTGGTGACATCCACACAGTATACAAGGTTTATAAGAAGAAAGAGGAGAACATCTTCTTGGGCCAGGGAGGAACAGTGTTAGCATCGGGGCGCAGGATGACACAGGCCTACGAGTGGCTCAAGACCAATAAACGAGGGGCGGAAGTTTAAAGCATCAGGTTGACCCAATATCCGACTTTTCCAAAGAGAGACGACTGACCTACACCATAAAATACATCCGCCTGTTCTCATAATTAATCGAACATCAGCCAATAATCCTCCTAATGACTACAGTCCCTTAAGTCTAGACTTCTGTGATATAATTCTCTGGAACCTAGTAGCACTAAGGGCACAATGCCAACAAAAGAGCGATCACCCATACCGAGCCGTATCTCCCCAAGTTCATCGCTATTGGAGCAGTTGCTACTTCGCTTTCAAGTGAGTGGGTGTCTTGGATCCCGGCCCCAATGCGAAGACACAAACTGTCCAACTGGAATTTCGATGGATGCCCAGAAGCATTGCTACTGCCCTGGGTGACGAAGGACTCGGCAAGGCTAGGCCCTCTGGCACCCCTAAACTAGAAGTTGCTCATATTATCCCTTTCTCATTCACCAACAACACGAGTAATGCCAATATACCTACAAGGCTGACGCCTTTCGTCCGATCAACACTAAAACAATAAAGCCTGAAAGGATGTCTGAGATCATCAGTGACTGCATTGACAGCTCATCCCTCACATCAACCGTTCAATTCAACAGAAGCTATCCTGTGACCGGGACTGTTCAACAGAAGTAATTTTGTGACTTGGACTGTCTTGTTCACTTCGGGGAATTCATGATTTATCATACGTTACTAAGGGATATTGGTTGGTACAAGGCCGATGCAAGCGAGGAGCTTTCCGTTCGGCGCTGAGGATGACGTTGACACGCACGCTCGGCTGGCGACGACCTGACAGACCTCTCCGTCCTTTCCACGCATTAAAATGATGGCTACGCTGTCTTTGTCTACTCTCACGTGCCCGTGGAGTCTCAGTTTCGAAAGCGGTAACACATCTGGAGGCTCAGTCATCATACCACGATGATGTTCTTATTCGCACTAGTTGAGCCTGTGTTCGAGGAGTTCCTTGACTGGCACCGCGATCTCACATATTGAAAGGAGATACCCTGCACCAAACGAACCTGATATCAGACAAAAGGAGCTCTTCGGCGGTATTTTTACACCCGATAACATGTACAGGGCAGTCAGCCTCGATGTCCTTTGAAATTGTCATTTCGAGGCTACCGGCAAAGCAAAGCTCTTCCCGCGTGCCAAGCCTAGCCAAACGACGCTCAACTCCTAAGCGCAGGCACTGCAGATACGCAGTTAAACGATCAGGAAGAGATCAGCCCTTCCAGCAAGCCAGCAACTCCAGGAGACACCTGCGACCAAGTTCGCCAATGACGCTACATTCATCTTACGCTACTTGCATAGGGCCTGCCCTCCCTCTGAGTGGACGTCACTCTCGATCTCTCGTCGCTGACCCCAACCTTGCCCTCCCCTGGAGACGCCCCCCCCAGTCGTCCCGAACATATTGCTGTGCATAGGGCATAGGACGCCCTCGCTGACCCTGGTTTTGGAGCTGGTAAGGTTAGGGAGCCCCGAGAGTCCTGCCCACCATTGCACTGGTGCGGCTGTCTGGGCCCGGGTTGATGGCCTTCTTGCTCGTATGAGACGACATCTTCCGTGCCATATCGCTCTGTACAAGCACATGTACACTAGATCACGAACCTCACGCACACATACTCTCAGTCACGAACCTCACTCCGCCGCCTGACCCTGCGCAAACATCCATACGCTCGATCGCAGACCTCACGCTCCCCGCCGACCTATACGCACTATTGCGACTATGAGCGCGGCTGGTATGAGTATACGTCCTGACAGGCAGTAGGATAAGAATATTGATAATAGCAGGACTACGGAGGAGCAGTTGGGCTACAGAAACTGCCTCCAGGCAGCCTGATCCGGCCCTCTGCTGGCAGGAGCTCGGGCACCGGCCAGAGGTCAACATACCCTGCCTTGCCGACAAAATCAGCACACTGCGTGCAGCTCTCGAGGCCGAGAACAGTTTCAATCCTTGTTGGATTGAAACCAAGCCCATCTGTTTCAACAGTGCTAAAGACAGGGCGAACTAGAAGTTGCCTGTCAATGGCACGGTCCCGAGGGGGACACAGATGGGACCCGGCCTGGAGCAGTGGGAGGGGTCACTCGACGCCCAGGGATGGCTCAAGAAGGCCAAAGGGGGCAAACAATGCTGGATCGCGGTGATTGTTGGCTCGCACCTGAACTGGGTCGAACACAAGAAGCTGGACCTTCTCGAGGAGAAGCATGCCACCGTGGTGGCGGTAATCAACCATGGCAACCGAGGTGGCAAGGTGATGCTCGTCTGGGATTCCGATAGACAGGTAACACCCCTTGGCCTCAGAGAGCGCGCTGTGACGCACATCAAGAGCGGTCCTGTGAAGGCATTGTACAATGCCCTCAGGGACAATGGGAGGAACAGGCCGCGGACGGAGTATACCATTCTTTGAGAGAAGTCCATCCTGGAAGCAGCTTCTTCTAGGTGGTCTGGCGTTGCGCGGCCTTCGAGCCGAATTAATGATAAGGGTACATGGCGTTCATCTCTCTACCCAGCCCGCGAGTGACGTAGGCTTAGCTGATTTGATGGTCGGCCGCCTTTTATGGTTCAATTGACAAATTGACCAAGAGCGTTGTTGACGGTTGAGAAAGACCGTACGGAATGATTTGATGTCAAGTTTTTCGATGGGCGAAAGTGGTCACTTTTGGCATCGATGAGACTGGGGAGGAATATATTGCATGAGCTAAGTGTCCACGAAGGGATCAAAGCAATCAAGGGGTCACCCGATGTCAACGAGGTGGTCGCGCCGTATTCTCATGGAACGATTCGAAAAATAGTCGAAGAATCTGCGTGAAGACTATGATGCAAGTCAGGACTCTTTGTCTAGCGAGCGGTTGATCACAGACGCAAAGAATCTTTAGCCACTGGGCGGGGTGAAGGTGACGGCAACGTCGATCGCTTTTATTTTCTTTGATTCGAGTCTGAGAGAAAGCCCCTGCAACCGCCGAATCATCTGAGTACTACAGGAAGCTTGCCATCCGCTGTCGATGCCCAATAGCGCGATGCTCAAACACGCCACCGAAGCAGCCTCTTTCCGCCAGGACCGCCCCATTGCTCTGGGGCGGTTTGTCGCCTACCATGTCCATGCCGGTGGCCGGTCAATGACTTTTGTTCTCGACCGCCACCAGTCGCTTTTCACATCTTGGACGAGGTTGATGGAGGGATCTTATTAGCTCGGTTCCTCGATCAGTTTATAATATCCGCCGTATCATCTCCGAAGGTGTTACCCTAAATGAGTTGCCTGGGTATCCCGCAGGCGATATCTAAAGAATGAGCCTAGTCAAAGATCGGATCCCCCTGGCAAAAAGGATCCAGAGTCTTATCAAGAGTTAGTCAATTATTATAGCGTCTTCAAGAGAAACATCTGATATTCTGGAAAAGATCCAAGAAGTTGAAAGCTGATACTTTCAATGATGAGTATGAGTCCGAAGGGACGTCAGGTGAATCCTACAACCTCCCAAATGATGAGGAAGAATATAGAAGTCTCTTGAATATAACCTATTGCCCCCCAAATGAAAATGGTAACCAGACGGAGGGAGCTATTATTCTATGCGAGAAGATGAAGGAACTCATCCTGGAGGTTCATGACCAAGATAGCGACCTCGACAGTGAGAACATTATAAGTTCTGTGACACCCAATTAGATCAATGGAGGAACACCCTATCAACTTAGTCCCCCGATCGGGTTGCGATATACGTCGCAAGATCTCCCAAGAGGTTGCCCAGAATATTGTGAATTCTCTGGAGGATTGCAGCAAAACTGTCAACGAGTTCATGGCCTTAGAGAACCTAGACCAGCACGGCGACCTTGTCATGAGAGCTAACGATATGACTACAGTTATGGGGTGTCCAACCCGCTTGGGGGGAGGTTGGTCCCGCTGAGATGGGCTTTGGTATCTTTGAACGAGATGACCGAACTTTTGGACGCGGTCGATTTGGCAGAGAAGAACATGCGCTGGTGATGGGGAAAAGTACGCCGGGATCCTTTGTGCGGAGGCGAAGATCGATAACCAGATCGAGGGCCAGGCCAGGCTCATTATAGCCTATGAGATTGCTCGTGCGCAGTTCGGGCAAGATTGCCGTCGATACCCGAGACTGCGCGTCCCTTGGAATAGAATGGATTCCCCCGAACTGCGCCAGGAAGGTAAATTCTACAGCGCCCTCGGAAACCTTCTCCTGGACAAGCCTCAGCTTGCCGCAATGATTGGAAATGCAGACTTGAAGCAGGTCGCGCGCCTGTGGAGGGTCGGCTCTCCGCTCACGACGTGAAAATGGACGATGAGGTGCGTGCGGGTGAATTGGCGTGTTTCACACGATGACGTGAAATGGACTAGCACATCTTATGGATTGGTTTTTGCAGTGGATTGTTTATCTGTTTGGATTCACATGGGATTGGAATGGTGAATGGAAGGAAAATTTTCACAATTGGGCTCCAATTACGGTTGTAGACCTGGAGTTTCACACGCAAAGGTTACTGACGGGGCTGTCAGTAATCGACGAGCAGGGGATCTCACTCGAGACACGTGCCGAAGAAGACGCTTGACTTGAGCAAGACGAATATCATCTGGATCCTGCAACTCTCCGCCACGTATCTGTTGCATTCAACTCACCTGCTTACCAGCCCGAGCCCCCGGTACCGTTGCTGAATCCCGGATATCTATCATTCATATCCACCTGGAAAAGCTGAGGCGAAGGTGGCCCTGGATTATTTCTTCACTTGAAATCTCCCCAGCGAAGAAATTCAATCCCCTGTTAATTTCCTTCAGGCCGACATTTCGAGCGAAAGCGATGGACAAGCGGACCCCCTTAATTATTCAAGAGCTCTTGGAGCGGATCTCCCTCGTCGAGCAGGCCCAAAGAGTTGACACGAACGTGAAAGCAAATAACCCAGCCGCATCTGGATCCTGTTCCCTATGCCCACAGGATCAATAGCTTCAGTACTGCCAAGCATCGCGAAAACTGGAAGATCGCGGAGAACGGGTGGCTTGGAACACCTTTTGCATGTTTGAGCGTTATGGTAGTACGATTTGCTATACAAAGAAGGCGCTCATGGACATACACTTCGCTGTCCTAGATTACATTGTATTTAATGGTGGTTGGAGCTGCTGCCTGCTCTCGCCATACGAAGTCGAGGAGTTGGAACATCATCGAGGAGGCTGGTCCCAGGGTATGTGGCAGAATTTCCCGGATAGCACTCCCTAATGAGATGGGCTACTCGCCGAAGTATATGGAGCACCGGAACGCCAGTACATGGGCGTGAGGCATTAGCTCCCGACTGGAAGAAGTTTGAGGGTGCACTCGATACACATGAGTGGCCAAAAATGGACCACGGCCACAAGGCGGAAGAGGCACTTATGTGCCAACCCAAACTTTGGCACCAGGGAGCTCCGTCCGAAAAAGAAGTGGTATACCCACTGCATCGGCAGGGCGATCTGGCCCGGCGTCTCGGGTCACGACAACAGGACTCACGGCCCCAAGTGCGGCGAGAGCTTTGAGCCTGGAAACAAGCTCCACCGGCACGTTCGTGGAAACGAATTGAAGCCTATCATTAACTTGACGGGCGTTTACATGCCATGCGACTGTCATTCAATTGACGGAAGCATGAAGGCGCATGATCTATCATTGACTTGACGGAACTGCGCATTGGAACTCTCGATCGGAAAGCGAACAATTGAATGGGAAAAGGGGAGAGAGGATCGTTGGGAACAGTCAGGAGATGAAACAGAAAGGCATGATTAGCGCACCAGACACCGCACACCATGATACAGGGTACTAATATTCAAAATAGAGATCAAAGGAACGGAGAAAGTATTCCAGTGTGATCACTACTAGCTTCATGGCACTGCATGCCTCCCGCCGCAGGAGAGATAGGAAGATGAATCACAACAAGTTGCACGGGAGATCATGGAATACTCGCGGTGAGTGGCGCCCACATCAACCGATTGGACATGTACAATACTAAGACTGCTACAGGAGGAGAGACACTTCTGGCGAGGATCTTAAGACTACTGGACCGCCATTGACAGGCTTTGCAAGCCACGTCGAGACCGTCTTGGAAATTGGCTTTAAGGAATCTCTAGCACATCGAGCAACATAGATCACATCAAATATCTATTAATCATCGCTAAACTATCTACCAACTCAACTAGGTCTTGATGAAGGATCCCGATCCCAGCCTTGAGAAGCACGCCGTTGCCGTTGCCATCATCAGCCGCGAGGGCAACGTCAAGGTTATGTTCGTCTGGGACTCCGACCGGTGGCAGACAGGGAAACAAGTCACCGCCGAGCAGCATATGTTCTACCACGAGGATGGCATATGCGAGATCAGTGGTATCGTCGACGGTATCCCCAGCATCGGTTGGAGCAGACACACCCATGCACAAATCCGCCAAAATACCACCCATTCATCTCTATCAACGACCACAAATATGACTACTGATCTACGACTTCACGAGACGCTCTGAGGGCTCATGCTTAGGGTCCAGAATCTGCCTTGGATTTTCACTGGAGAGGACTGGTTAACAATCCAACAAAACAACATGCTCAAAACAAACCTGACAGATGAAAACTGTTTGATATGGGCTTGAGATGGTCCAGTTGTTTCTCAAGACCCCGAAGTCGCTCATACGAAAGCATGCCCCGGACCTAGACTGCGCGCAGGTTCGCCGACTGGCCGATTTTGTCGCCGAAGGATCCAAGCTACAGCCGAAGGACCACTGTCTGGTACTCTGTCTAAGCCCTCTGATAGCCGCATTGGCGTACGCCTGGCTGCACCGGGGTCGCGCCCGGAATCAACGATGATGATGTCTCGCAACAGGCCGCTACGCGACCATATATCCCACCAGCCTTTGCCGACTGGGATGGAATACCAAATGAAGAATCTCCGATCATCAGGCTTGGGGGTTTTTCCTAACTTGAGACTCATTCTCCCGATATACCTGGCCTGGTTGGGAGGGCAAAGGATGTTTTCCACAAATGGTACAACGCCACCGGCAAGAAGACGCTTCAAAGGGGAGCGTGGAGTTAGTTGACAAAGAAGATCGTAGTATCTTGGTGGACTTTGTTATACGGGATCGGAACATGTTTTCCACCGATCGAGATGCAATTCATGGTCGCTTTGATGAACAGATTACAGCGTCATGGGGGGTGCTGGAGATCTTGGCATTGCTCTTGGGTCAGGCAGTCGGTCATTCCTCTTCCCTTCGGGAGGATAACTGACTGGCTGCTTGTTGTTTGACGACTAGAGGTTTCCCAGCAGAGGACCTTTCAGTATGATCCCACAACACAGACAAGCCGTTTATGATCTTCATCTGTCTCAGGCAGGATGAGAAAGGGAAGAGAGTTCACAACCTGGCGCGCATTGGCTCTGCTCAACGCCATCACGTGCAACGAGATGGGTATACGCAACAGCGATGAACTGGCCCGCGCACCGGGTGTCCAGTAGCCCAGTATACTACGATTCGCCTTCCAGGCTACCGGCAGGTTCCAGCCCACGACCTATTGTGTCGATGGCGTAACCATGGGGAATGATAGCGACAGGCTGATATTCATCCTTGACCCTACCAGGATATATGAGCCTGGCGGTGGACAGGTTGCACTAGGGAATATATTACCCAGTGGCTGTGTTTTACGTACTTCGAGATAACGCCGGGAATAATCGTCTCGGAGACGCACCCAGAACTCATACTCGACAGCCTCCGCGGTGGCCGCAAGGACCGCGCCGCCGTCGTGAGCCAGGTTGCCAGCAACTTTCTTATTAGAGCCGGCTTCGATTCGGGCCACGAGTCACTCATCCCCCCTTGTACGGCTCAGTGGGGTGTATCGGAGTGTGCCTATATTGTTGCGTTCTGGCTCATCACCACTATACGAGGCCATGTTGGGGTCACCATCGACGAGTTTGACTGCGGATGGAGCGGATGTCCGAGGCCCGCGGCTAGTACTCGGAGCGATCTTCGCCTGCGAGATTGGGCAAGGAGCTTTAGACCCGCCTGGCGTCCTCGGCTCGACACAGGCTCATTGCTCTATGTACAAGAGATGCTGTACTTCTTTGCATGCAACTTTCTAGAGGTCGGTTCCATGAGCTTTTTTTTTGTACAAAGTAGTGCCGGTCCTGCCGTTGCCATCTGCCTGCGTGAGCCAGACAAGGATATCACGCTCAAAGACACCATGGAGCAGGTAGAGCGCGATCCACACCCTCTTCACTGTCGTCCGCCGGGTGTACGAGATGATCAGCATCAGAATTTTCTGGACTATAGGGACTATCCTCGAAAATGGAAAGGCATTCTGCGCGCTCATTAAAATCCTACCAATTTGCTTCTCGGCTCAACAGGTGGCCTATGGCCCTGAAAGCCATGACCACGCCGCCACCTCCGCCGACTCAAGCTGAAGCGGAGGCGGCGCTGAATCATTTCTTCGAGCAAAATCCTACCGACGCAGAAGTTCAAGCCGCCATTGATTTTGAGGCCCAACATATCTAGGCAACGAAGAAGTTGAGGACAAAAGGTCGACCCTTGTTATTGAAGCCGGATACTCGATGTCAATGGAATCACTGAGACAGGCAATGAGATGGTGGTTCGCAGCCTCTGATCACCAGGTGAAGATTGTTCTGCTTGTGAAGGTAGATCACCCCTCCAGAACTATCCCCATCGAGAAGTGGATATATCAAGCTAAAGCGAAGAACGAGAGGACTGCTTAAGTGTTAAAGAGCTCGTGTATCAATAGCCCTGACGGCACTAGGGCTAAATTTCCATCATCAGTGTCCACGAGCCATCATTCTCGAACAGGCGGCCAATCTGTATGTCGAAAGCGCTCGGAAGGATCTGAAGAATCGGACAGAGCAGAATAACCAAGAGGGAGAAGTTGTACCTCCGGGACTCATTGACTTCTTACTTGAAGCGCGCAACTTGGCAAAGTATGCGGACATGTTATGCGCAGAGACCAATATTGACAACCGAATTGAAGGCCAGGCGAGACTTATCGTGGCGTACAAGATCGCCCGCGCGGAATCTCACACAGCTCAGGCCAGAGGACGGTTTTGCGATGACGGCAGAGCAGTTGGCAGATAGGGCTGGCAGTAGGTCTCTGAGAGAGAACGGGGGTGTATCTGCAAAAACACGCGTAGATGTCGGAGACGTTGAACCAATGGCGCCTAGGAAGGTTGACGCCTAGGTAGAGTTTCCTGAGTCTCTACCTCGAACCCATAGGAAAATTCTCAGCTTATTGTGAGTATCAGCCCTCACCCTCCTTCAGAATTAAACTAATTCGTCTCAGTTTTCCAACGCGAACAATCCGAAGAGGAGCCCGATCTATCTAGCGATATAATACGGAAGTCGGCCCAGGACTACGATAAGGATCGCTGTGTAGTAACAGGACTTGCGAACCCGCAGGACTATCACATCATACCGTTCACATGGATTTCTACAGATGAGCATCTCCAAACCGCCAGAACTCTTACAGAGGTGATTAGGGATTTCTTTACGCCCAATAACCCGACCTTCGGTTAGAGTCACGCCGCAGCAACATCTCCGAGCCACACAAGGCAGGTTGCTCTACATACCATATTGACGTCTGGTTGCAAAGATTCGTGGCTCGACTGTCACGGTGAATTCCAGCCTGCGTACAAGAATGATACTAAATATTTGGCTTCATAGCTAGCTTCTGCAGCTAGACGTCACGACTACCCGTTGGGCCCCTTGCCCAGGGATCAAGGAAACATATCGACCCAAAAGTCCACCGGAAGACTTAAGGGCAAAGCACGCTGGGAAGCGCGCAATGCTGAACCAAAGTCCGCCGAGTGCTGGGCCATTGTAAGTGCCCCACTAAAAAAAGCATGTTTCAACGACGTCTGATGATGGAAGCAACTTTTGAATGCCTTGTCGGTTCCTAGACCATCGGTACGTTGGCAGCCGCAGCGTAGAGCCTACTGGTCGCTCAGCCAAATGGATTTTGATACCCGAGATTGGTGTTGCCAGAGATCGGACAGAAAGTCAGGATGGAGCTCAACCCTCCCATCCCGAGGGTATTTTCATATCGTTCGACCCTCGCATCAAAGCAATCCTTGAACAAGTCAAGGACCGGGCGCCCATCACCCATCAAGCGGCCAAGAATGTCCTGTCGGACGTCGCAAGGAATCCCAAGAGACTGCCCGGCCATGCCAGCGGCAGCGATGTTCCCGCTACCGTCGGCACAGCCGAGGTTAAGTCCATCGCGGAATCTGATGTAGTGGGCGGCGCCCACTACTTCTTCGAGACCGTGAAGCAGGATCCTGATTACCCCCCCTTGACGAGTGTAGACTCGTTCGTAAAATGGGGGCTGTCGGCGAGCCCGGCCCTAACACGACTCTTCCGTCGCTGCATCGATGTCGTATTACATGGCAAGCGCAGGCTGCTCATCTATGCTGATACACCCTTTATCCAGCAGTAAGTACTCGCCGTGAGCGGCTTTTGCTCGCCAATTCACCGTGGGTAACCTTTGCCCGGATGGCCGTTCCCCATGTCGTCTGGCCGTCCTAGGTCCTGTGCTTTTGCCAGCGAGGGCGTGCGCTTCAATGATCGGCCCCTTACGATACCTAGTGGCCTCATGCATGCGTGGGCGCGGCAATCGCGCCCCTCGGTCCCTGGACTGCGTGCATAGTGGTCGTATCACGCGTCCCTACGATGCTTTGCGCCACCAATCCTCCCTTCATACGAGCTTGGGCGCCCGGAGCAATTCGGGCGCGCTAGAGTCGAAAGAATTCCTGTCCATGTTGGTGGAAGAAGAGGACCCAAAATGTTTCATCAAGCACCGCTACTGGGCTTAGCTCTAACCCAAGGGCTGCCTAAATCTAAAACAAGTGATGCCCTTCAAGATGAGTAACAGTGGGTATGGCTCACATCTAAAAGGTTCGGCTTTGGTAACTCATAAAAGCACGATAGATTCATCAAGCCTGGGACTTTAATCAAAAGTCCTACGACCAGGGAAAAGGCGACGGTGAATTCTGGCTACCCGTCTTCCATGGGTACTTGCTTTTGAGCAACGAAGCAAGCAGTACTCTGGATAAGGAGACCGCCAAGTCCATCGGACGGCCATCATGAAATTCTCTTGATGCGTCCCTCTCATTCAATTATCCTCCATAAGACTTTGCATCTATTGTCATTGATATTCACGCCTCTAAGTTATAGCGGGCGTTTGGGCGACGAAAAAATTGCTTCATTGTGTGTATGGTCAACAAATGTCAGGTCCTTGGCAGTGGCGGAGTATAAAGCCGACAAAGATTCAGCGAAACAGAATTATGCTGGCCCTTATCAATGAGCTGTTCACTCTAGCTTCTGGCAGTTTTGGAGAAGAGGAACGTGAGTGTAAAGGGGAAGACGGATGTCAGGCTGAAGGCCTGTATGAGCCAGCAAACATGGAATAGCTGATCTGGAACGTACCTGTACGTCTGGCCAGTAGTCGATACTATCGTGCGAGCAGCCCACGATATATCATGCAGATACCGAGTTGATGAGTTTATGTTGAGGGAGGTCCTGTTGGCGACACCGAAGGCTATATACGAGGACCCGGACGAGACTCGGCACCTGCCACAGAGACTGGTGGATTATACTGGATCCAGAACATCGGTACCTATCTTTCAATGTGGTGATCCATATGACGAGAGTGCCTGCGAGCATTGCACTGCTGCGATCCTGTGGCTCGCACGGAAGACCTCGACCCGACGGGCAATATCAGGCGTAAGATAGTATCAGGTTGCCGCGGCGGCTTCTGTAGACATTCCGATGCCGAGTTCGACGATGTGGCCATGGCAGACGACGACGGGCACCGGTGCGACGGATGCATCCTACACGGCCAGCCCTGTCAGCCTGTGACTTAATCCTACAGGAATTGCAGCACAAAGCTCCATCGAGCTGCGGCATCTGATAACTTTGCAAGTGATAAGCCGGCAATCCGTCCACGTGCACCGAAGGACGCGATTGGCGTGGCCCGGCGCCTTGACAAATTCAAGAGCATGGTGTTATCCAGCTAGTCAATGGCCTGTTCGGGAGCCCGAGAAGGTGGACGTCCGGATTCTTCGCAACCCAGAGAAAGCGAAGCAGCCACAGCTGAATTTTGGGAGCAACCGGCTCGGCATTTTTTACACCTTTGACCCCAAGAATATGGTGATCATACAAAACCGGGGCGAGGACCCCATCACGGACGAGGTCGCACACGAGGCACAATGGGACTTGGAAAGACTCTTATTATGATCGGTGCTATTATGGCAAATCATCGAAACGATCTGAAGCGTCTCCTAGATGGTAAGGACCGCTGGCTTGAGCACCTGCGGCAGAATGGTTATCAGGCCCCGGACATTCCGGAAGGTGAAAATATCTTTGAGGATATTAAATGGAGCTATGCTATAACGGAGGAAGACTGGATCAAGTTTGACCTACCCATCTTCCGCCCGAGCATTATACAAACTCCAGTCAATTGCATCTCTGACGTGTATCAGGATGCCAAGAGATTTTTAGGTTAGGGTTAGGGTTAGGGGGATGCTGCGTCCTGACTACAAACGGGCCTCCGGGGAGGTCGATGTGCCTACTGCCATCGGCACGGAGGAGGTTCACATCATCGCGCAAAAGGATAAGGTCGGGGGGGCTACGTTCTTCTTTGAGATGAGCAAGCCACACCCAGCCCTCCCAACCCCGAAGTGTCCGATCTTCTATACAGAGTATGCGATGGCCACGAACCCGATCTTCACACGTGTCATGCGACACGCACACGACATTGTGCTTATCGGCGGACGCCGACTCTGCATCTACACCGATACGCCCTGGATCCAACAGTAAGTTGGACCCTCCCTCGCTCCCTCTTGCCCCCATTTCAACCGGCCATCGATGCCGACCTAGCTAGAAGATTTAAGGGAACAATAAATGGATTCATTCCTCACCAGCCACTCCCAGAGCTTCTCTTGCCCTGGGCACTCTGAGCAGTCAATCTATCTCACTCAAAGAAGCACCCCTAATGACTACTGATATTAAGCCAAAGAGGTTAGAGTGCGCATGAAGGCTATGGCATCTTGAGCGCTGCACGCAAGACTGGGAGATGTGATTTTCTTCACTGTTGAGGAGTAGGAGCCACGCTTGGCCCCGAGTCACCTTACCAATACATCTTAGTTCCAGTGCTGCAAGAAACCGGCGAGATGACCACTGCGGCCGAATGCTCTTCTAAATGGTGAAACGAAAGGGCTTGTCACAAGGCCCACGGACCTTGCGCGAGAGGGATTTGATGTGAGGACGCTTCGCGATCTCACTATCTTGTAAGTCATTGCCTGCCACGACAACATTCTTGAAGTCACGGCCAGCCATCTAGAAAAGTAATGTTCTTTGCAAATCGAGCTACCCTCACGACTCTCCCTGCTATGCCTGAGCCAACGCGGAGCAAAGATTTCCAGGATTGCGGAGGACCTCGATGTCATGACGAAAAGGTCGGAGCCTCTCATATGTGGTTCATTTGGTTCCACGGCCATCAACCTGCCAGGACTGGGACGGCCTGGAACGGACACGAAGGGGCTGGATGGCAGCTCGATGCCATGGTCCGCGGTTTACTCCATCTGGCTCGCAACATACTGTTGCGGTAGCGGCGGCGATGACTTCGCCAACGCCACCAACTGCTCCGACCTTCGGAGGGCCGTTTACGCAGTTCCAACATTTATACACGTTCATGTCAAAACGTAACACTAACGGGATCGGAGACTATTCATGAAACTTCTCGCTCCCCAGATCAGCAAGGCCAGAGTAGCCGGGAACAACTCCTTGAGGCTCTGTATATGGACATCAACATACAAGAGAATTCTAAGACCCGTCAAGAAGACTTCTTTTGGCGTTTGAAGGCGCCGAGAATATATATAAGGCACTTAAAATGCAACACTTGGTACTAGGAATGAAAGAGGACTATTCCGAGAGCAAGGAGGTGTGACGTATTGTATAAATACCAATCACAGTGATATAAAGGAGAAACAAAGCATTGCAAGAGGCTACTGCCCGTCTCGATGAACAGGGACACATCTTGTCGTGAGGTGGAAAAAGCCAGCACCGGGGTGGCATGAAGGCCTCGCTGATAAGGCCAACAAGATTTTTTGATATTTTAAAGGTATCTTCCAACCTAAAGCCAACTAGACAGACTGGCCGAACTATCAAAGTACAAAACTAACCAATAGCCAGTCTCATTAAAAGCAGGCAGCTGGACCTTCTTCCAAACACGATGTCTCCGTCATCGTGAGTCGAAGGAAGTGGAGAAATATCCGGAGCACTTTCCGTTGAACACGACCCTCCCACCCCATTCAGCGCGTTCGGGTACACAGGAAGTTCATATCCTCGGGAAAAAGTCGAGCGACTAGAAAGTGAAGATGGGAGGAATATGGTGTGGTGCAACCAGTGGCTTATCTCGGAAACGAAGCCCGTGGAGGATATACGGCAGCGTCATCTTGAGATTATTAGCCTGCTAGCCGCCGCGCCGAACAGATAATCCCAGGTGGTAAAGTGCCGACTAGATAGGGACCCCGAGATTTTGGTGGTAAAAATCTTCGATCCTATGTTTTGGCCAGAGTATGTGCAGACGAGTGGCCCAAGGTATTATCGATAGCGATTGTTTCGACTTCAAGCTTTACAACGAACAAGACATCGATTTCAGCGTCATGCAGAAGGAGGGGAGGAAGATCGAACATGTATCGAGTCGCAAATCCAGAAAAGATTCAGGGTTGAGTAACGGCTTGGGTGGGAAGATTTCAACATCCAGAGAGTGAACGCCTAAATGTGCTGCCCCATGGATTTGACGATAGGCCTTGTTTGACCAAGCGGAATCGAGCTAGGCAGTACCAACATGCTCCTGCCAAGTCGTAGGGCCATGCCCGAGATTTCTAGCCCTTCATCTTGAATTGGCAAGGCAGGTAACCCGACTTTCTCACATCAAATTACGCAGCTGGAGGTCCAACTGATGCAGAAGTTGGAGGTTTGCAAGATTGGCCCACACAAGTCATCGAGGCTGGATACTCGCAGTCCCTAAACCAACTAAGAGACCGAATGGCATGGTGGTTTAGGGCTTCAGGCCATCTGGTGCAGATCGTTCTTTTGATAAAGATGGACCCTGTATCATGAGATGCAACATACCCGGTTCAAAAGCCTCTTGAATATGGTGGGTTCGCAACCGCGGATCCGGACGCTGGTAGTCGTGCGGCGTTCCCGGTCCGCATACATTTAGGTTTCCTCGCAGCCCAGGCCGGCTCTTTTGATGTGCCGGTGCGATGAGGAAAAACCGGTCACACCATTGGGACTTTGTTATTCGTTTGTCCATCAATTTGCTGAGGTGACTAGGAGGATGAGCTTGATGGAAACCGTGCTAGCATCGCCAACTAAAAATTCGCCGATAGTAGTTTGAAATGCGAAAGGAGAGCGAAGGGATTTAATTTTGGAAGCGTTGGTTTTGCAATGGACAGACAGCACTTGGGTCCAATCGATTCTTCATAATCCTCAACTCATGGTTGAGGCTTTAGTAGCGTCGACGAGGCAGCACACCACCTGATAGATGACTTCGTGAAGCGCGCGATGGCCTTTCTTTACAACTGCCTGCGTGGAGGCACGGAAGGTTGGTCAAGATGCCCTTTCTACCCGACCTCGGGCGTATGACGGGGCGGTAGACTTGGACCTACTGGATGGTATCCCGGCCAATGTGAATGAGCATCTGTGGCTGTTGGCGTGCAAGTTTTACCTGCACGGTACCTGCACGGTGCGCCCAACAAGAAGCAAAGGACCAAGATGCTTGGTATCAAGGTGGAGTCCAGCGATTCATTCAGGATGACATCCATCGCGGCGAAGAGTCTCGCGGTAGCTTGCTTCTCTGCATATACCGGGCTCTCTGTTCTACGGCCACCCAGCCATTGTATATCATTCTATTGTTGCCTGCCACGGGTTGGCGGCTGCATCCACCGACCGCAACGACATCAGGGTGACCAACCTAAAGGACCAGACAAGCCATGCTCAAAAGAAGGGCCAATGAAATCTACAGACACTCCATCGGTACATCAGTAACTTTCTACAACTGTGCTCTCTTTCGATCGGGTGAGGTTGGAAAAAGTACGCGAGGTTGCTAAAAAAAAAAAAAAAAAGGGNGGGGGGGGGGGGGCAGGAATTCGAGGGAAAACGGGGAACGGGCGAGCCCCCTGAGGATTGCCTGATGTGTACTGAGAAGGACTGGCTCAAAGATTGCCCGGGCCGTAAATTTGAGAACAAGAAAAAAAAAGCATAAAAACTTGGACAAGAAGCCGAATGAAGGCGAAAGAACTGCCCCTATTCAATCTCCGGTGGTTCACAACCACAACTTTCGGTCGGATTTATGCGCTGTAAGCATCCCTAAATACCCCATTACATGATGCATTGGGTTCAAACTAACCTTAAATTCATAATGTAGGTAGTTTAGGAGGCTGCAGTGCCATGGATCACTATAAACGACCCCCCAGGGCTGATCACTGCAGAGGGCACCAAGGCTTGCAAACTTTGTAATGGACTGCACTTTGCACGCGACTGCAAGTCAGAGACCAGCCAGCACTCTCTCTCTCCTATAATCGTGCAACTGAACAACAAAGAGGATAATAAGGCTTTGTCAGAAGCAATCAATGCCTTAAACCTGAAAGGCGTTAAGGAGGCAGAAGGACGTGACAGGGAGAAGCGGCTGTAATTGATCCACCCCTAGACAAGACCTGGTCTTCGAGTCAGCACAGGAGTACTCTTCTTTACGTTCTCAACTGGCAGAGGGCCGAGGTGCCTAGTGATACTAGCGCTGGCTACGCAGAGGATGACCAAATGGACTTCCACACAGCAGTACGCGAAACGTCCAGTTCACGCTTCCCTACGCGTTCGCGGAATGAGTTCTTCTCTCAGAGGGGCGCAGAAAGCATTCTGTGAACACGGAGTGCGATTTTTCCATGGGCGCGGGAGCTGAGAGAGCCTTGCGGGTTCCTGCTCCGGCAAGTGCTGGAATACGCACTCAACGTGATGAAGCAAGATCGGCACTTGACGTGCGGAACAACAGAATAGAACAGTTGGAGGGACAGCTCGAAAGATTAGGTGTACAGAACCAGTACGCGAGAGATCGATAATCTGTACAACACGGCTCACCAGGGCCCACGCAGCCGAGTTGCGCAAAGAAATGTATTTGAACAATTCCTTGGATCCTGGAAAGGTTCAAGTATCTACGCCCTCCTGACCCCGATAATAATGGGACGTATACTTATAGAGAAGAAGCCTTCTATAAGTCGGTAGCTAGGTCCAGCTATACAATACTTATAGCAGCCATATATCTCATGGAAGAGCTTAATCCGCAGCCAACGGGTGGAGAGGCTTCAGATATTCAAGCCGCATTTGAGCAAGCAGCGGAACAAGCATCAGGGGATGCAGAAGAAGCGCTGGTAGAGCAGACGCCGGCGCAGACACAATCCGACGATGATTCTGAGATATTAGATTACTCAGATGACGCCCTGGAAGACCCGGTGCAAGCTAATGCACCTGCCATTCTGTCTAGGACTCTGCCTGTCCCAGCATAGATGCCGACCATCTCACATTGATCTCTTGGATTCTCTCGGTCCTAATGAGCAGCAGCCTTCAATTGCTCTCCCCCATCTATCATCGCCAATAAAGCTCGACAGACGGCCCCAGAGACCGTCAGAGGATTATTAAAGCATTTAATAACCCGGCTTCCGACATTTAGATTCTCGTAGCGAACATTAACACGTCGGTATTTGGAGTCATCCTCCACAACTGTTGCAGCGATGGTGTCTTCATTTGTGTTGCGTCTTCTGCTGCGACTATGCGACAGATCACCAGCAGACTCATTAGAATCAACCAGACCAATGTGGTGTATTGGTATGTCACCCGACTGATGAACTCGTATCATGATTACCAGGAACGCTCCCTGACCAGCAAATGGTACGTCAAATTGCTGCTGAGTGCCAGATGCCGACCGGTCTCCCTCGCCTATTCCAGGAGGTCATAATTTACGGTAAAGATGATGTAATGCCAGTCATTTATCCGGTTTTCCTGGGTGCTCATAAAGGAGCAGAACAAGAAATTCTGCGATTACTGATCTGCCAACGCCGCTCCTCTGCCTTTGCGCAAATGTGGGCATAAGCCGTAGCAGTAGACAATGCGTCAGCGAACAGTTGAAACAGATCAATCGGTCGGCGATGTCGAACGAGATCCACGATACCCCTTGGGAGCGTACGCTCGTTGAATGGGGCGTCAAATACCAGATGGCTCTTGTAGAGCCAAGCAATGCAAATCCGCTGCTCATCGGCATGGAGGGCTGCACGTTGTCGCCGAAGCCGCAGCGATTCTGGCTGCCCTGGTTACGGCGTTTGAATACTATGACAAGGGAATCACAGGTCATCCACAACGGGGGAGCAATGCCATGATACTCTCACTCGCATGCACTCGGCCGTTATTCAGAGCCTTTCCGGCCTACGTCCCCGGGACGTGCGGCGAGATTACAGCCTTGAATCCAAATTTAAGGGTCGACGTTTAAACGCGTGCAAGAAGGCTCTGCGTCTGAGTGGCATACTGGACTACAAAATAGCCAGGGACTTTGCTGCGCTCGTGAATGATGCACGAAATGGTGACCAAGACCTAGTTCCGAGCCAAGTGAGTCGAAACGCATGTGGCGAGTATTCTCCCAGGCGGGAGGAGACCCGACATGTTCTTGTTCCACCACCATTTCGCAGATTGGTCATTCATCTAACGTTTTGTTTGTTCGTGGTCCATGCTTGAGACTGTCCTACGAGGACGGAAGCCCCCAGGTTTATCCGATGCTTGAACATGAACAAACTTTTGGGTCTCAGCGACGAGCTTTCTGCCAACCATATATGCTCCGAGGCCACCGCCATCCTGAACTTCGCATAGTTGCTAACACTCGCGCCTTTGGGCAACCCCCAACGCAGGCGACCAGGGTTAGGGTTAGGGTTGGGACCAAAATGCTGCCGAAGATATGGGCAAGAATATGGATGTTGGCTGCAAGAATGTAACAGCGCACCCTGCTTTTCGCCCGTATGGCTGTCTTTAGAGGCCTTCGTGACATTCCCTTGGGACCCGAGCCGGGATGCGAGTGAAGTGATGGCTCCTATCACCCGAGATATGTTTTCTTACCCTCGGGAGAAAATGGCACCAATGTGGACAGAATAGTCCCAATGGATACGGTACTCAGAAGCATAGTGTACTTTTATGGCAGCAGATGCCATGTCAGTATTGTATTTGACAAGAGACACACCATGACACAGTCAGTGTTGGTGTCATCTAGCACATCTCCCGTGCTGCCCGCCCGCCCGCCTGCTTGCTTGAATGTTTGTTATCTCTCGCCTATTGTAGGCAAGTCGGGTTTCAGAATATTAAGCCACCTAACATCCTAGTTATCTGAAACCTTCCACGGAAGAGGCTTCTGGCCTATATAGATAGATGAAGTGCCCAGAAGCTCTTTCATATTCATCAGCTCTATCCATCAAAACTCAACGGTACGGGTATGAGTCCACCTGCCTCTGAAGATACAAAGTCTACCCGTTCTATTCGCCGCCCGATTGTGGCTTCATGCCCAATGGCACAACTCATGACGAGGACAGGTGGTCTACATCGGAATACTAAACACAAAGGCCGACCTACTATCGACGACTATGTTCAAACTTTGATCAAACCTCCTTTTCAATACTATAAGTCATGACTTCATTGCACCGACTTCGAGACAAATCCATAGACCTCGTCTCGGAGAAGCAACAATTAAAGCCTGAAAAAATTGGTGCCTTGGGCTCATTGCGCTCGACGAAGATGCTAGCGCTGGAAAGAGCGATGATGGCGAACGCAAAAATGCCGCCTTGGATTCCAGAAATGCCCTCCTACAGGGAAATCCGACGCACTTCCCGAGCCTGGAAAGATGTTGATAGCAGAGAAACTACATGCCTGCAACACGCATCTCGGACAATCATTCAGGCAACCAGGATGGATCTAGGGGGAACCTGTCGCTTGTTGCTACATATGCAAGACTTCTCAAGCTTGGAACGAGGTAATAGATCCTAAGGCCTCCGAAGCAGTGAACACACATGGTATTAAAATATTCTATTACTCATGTCCCTCAGTCCTGGGTGGAATAAATCCAAATACAGCTGTCTACTCTCCGACGGCACATCCGGGAACTGGCTGGAGCGTCGGACCTTTAAGCTGGGCAGTGAACCGGAGAGCAGCGATAGCATGGCCACTCACCCGGGCGCCGTGGTCCTGGCCGGCGGGCCGTCAAACCAGGCCATCTTCCAGGAGGCCTGGAAGAAAAGCTTGCATCGATGATAGTACGCGGCTTTCAAGAGGTCGAGCATCACGCTGGACAGCACATGAATGAGCGGAGACAAGAGATAAGCGGTTGACGGAGTGCATTGGTTTGACTGAAAGACTGAACTATCTGACCCAAGTCCAAGCAGGCGATTGACGTGGGTGAAATTGCCGACACCCGAGACTCAGCGGTTTGAACAACATGCAACGGGCTACTATGGAAGCTTGAACAGAAAATCGGGTTCTTAACCAAGTGCATGAAAAAGTCGGATAGCATGTCGTTGCTCTACAGGCTACGGAAGAGGTTCGCCCAATTACGACTCCATTTCGAGCAGCCATGGTGAGGGCCTCCAGCAACTTTCATAGGCCATCATTACAGCATGGAAGGCAATGATGGCGACAATGAACCTACCACCTCAGTTCCTTGTGGCGATATTCCCGCAAACTTGACCTGTAATACAGAACTTGACCTCAATAGGTCTCATATCGCTCGTATGTGGTATTCAGACTATACGCGGAGGGCTTGGGCTCACACTCGCGAGACTTGGTTGCCTCCAGGAAAGCTGGAGGAATAATTGGGCCGGCCTTTGCCCAGAGCAGGTGACATGTCATCAAAGAGCTAGAGTACTGCCCTTGACACGCTCTAGGATTAGTAGAATAGGCGTTAGCCAACATATTTACTAGTATATAATACCTGTAAGCTAATACAAAGGATACTAAACTTCAAACCCAGCTATGCAACTACTGGCTGGTCACGCTAAGCGCGTAACATTTCAGAAGGAGGACCTATATACCCTCAAGGAGGTATTGGGGAAATTTCCCACAACTGCTACCAACCACCTAGCAGTACCCCCCAGTACATCTTTTCCCCATAGTCAGCTCACTATCCTCATCAGACTGGTCTCGCCAATACCACTAGAGTCTATCTAGGAGTCAATGGATATATGCGAGAGGCATGTACAGACTCGCTCAAGTCACCTTGGAAACCCTGGGAGCTAGGGTTCTCAAAGAGGGCACCTATTGGTTTCAAACCGTACCAGGTGAAAAATAAGCTGAATTATTATCTCTTGGTGCGAGCTCTAGCAAAGAAGATGGATAAGGAGACTTCACAATACTGAACGGGTTTCTGTGGAGCTTTTTAGCTCCTCAACCACACCTGGATGGCTCTGCCGCAACCCTCTTCCCCCATCCTTTGGTGACTCTGACTTCGAGCAATGGATAAGAGGAGAACCCGAAAGCCGCGGTCGCGGCTCAAGTGTTCGCAGCCGTACTGGGAGCGCGCCTGGAAGCCCAATGCATCTTGATACGCCTCTTCCTCCCCTTGGGTCATCGCCTCCAATAAGTCGAACACCGCCCTTGCCATCAACGCCCCCTGGGAGACGTTATCCTTCTGTGACAACTCCTGGAATGCCCCGCGCATTCAGCCGATTCGCTATTGCTATGGATATCACGAGAGAAGACTCGCCACTCGGGACCGATCTTCCCTGCCGCCCACCAACAAAGACTGGGCGACAGCCGATGGCAATAAAGTATAAATTCTGGGAGCCAGATACGAAGAATGATCGAGTGTGCTGGGACCATCTTACAAAGCCGTAGTCTCGGCTTGTACCGCGATGCACGACACCATCCTTGAACAGATGGGGAAGCGATCAGTAGGTTTAATACACATCCGTGATGGCCTAACTAAGACTATCTTCGTTGGGTATACCGTCTATATATACTACGGCTCCTCCTTGAAAAATCCGAATATCAAGTGCGCTAAGCACCTGACCTCCAAGTTACCCGCAGACCTCTTAGCAATATTCACTAATATCGGTCTTGGTACAAGACCTCTACTGCCAGGACGATCATCATCACATCCCCGGGTACCTTCCACAGACATCTCTTCACTAAGAAGTATCACCCTATAGTATTCACAGACACCGATGGTGACATCGACATAGGAGATGATCACGATGACCCTGCCGACGAAGACATGCTCATTGTTGAGAACGGCATAACAGTGAAGCCATCAGATGCCTCTGAATGGAAGAAGAACAAAAAACGCGTTTACGAGCAGGACGTCGCGTCCTGAAACTTCAGTGTGGTCAGCGATCTGCGACTATACACGTCCTTATAAAGCATGAATGGGTCCTGGGTGATTTATCAAAGTACTTGTTCGACACGATTGTGATCAATGAAAGCCTTCTACATTTCTCAATCAAATACCCACCTGGAGAGGGACACAGAGGATAAGATTGAGGCGATGGACTCAGTTCCTAGAGATACACACCAGTAGCTCAGCAACACCGTGCTTCGTTCCAGCGTCTACCCTTAGCTACAGTTTAATTACAGCTATCTTCTACGTGGTGCAACAGAACTACCCTAGGAAGAGGTCACCCCAATTCCTCTCGAGGCAACGAAAAGTCCTACACGTTGATACTTACAAACCAAGTACTTGGCCATCGCACCATCGATCTTCCATATAACTGGCAGTCGCATGTTGCTGCACCATCGATAACTGCCAAGATCGGTTTCAGACAAGTGGTACTCACCCTAGCCTCCATAACCTCGAGTACAACTATTGGAAGCAGCTCTAAGCCAGCCACGATGAGCAGGACCAAGAGGAGATTGTTTCCCTTGATGATATATCATGTTTGAGCAAACAGATCAGTGCCTTGCCTATCGCCTCTTTGTCTTCCATCATCAGCGGGTCCTTTCCGGTGGAAATTCAGCTTTTCTTCGGGTCAATTTGGATGCGCCTGGGCGGATTGCAAAGTCATTTCTCATCAAGGCTAATTCGTCGAAACTCAACCCACTCACTATTGTAGCTAGAAGCTGGCTGGTGACGCCGTCAATGTGGTAGCAGCCATCGGTCGACTTTGAGTGAACATTGAATCCACTGCAGAGGATCTCCGCGAACTCACTCAATGAGCATCACGCCACCCTCTTTGAGATTAGCAACGCCACGCCCGCAGTTTTAGCCATCAAGGCTGCGATTTCAACGCAGGAGGCCGAACGGCTGGGCGAATTTATCTTAGAGAACTACGCGATTGACTAATTTCTCAATTGCCTCGACGTTGTCAACGTTAATGTAGCTTATGACCAGATCGACGCCTCTCAATGTACGGACCTGAGGAGCTCGTCAAGGATTGGGTGCCCTTGAATATCGAGACGCTTATTACTAGGTACGAGGTAAAGCACCGATACTTTGATTCGGCGAAGACGATTGTGCACACCATTCCCACCCTCACGAACTTCCGTGAGCTGACCAATCCTGCGCATGCGGACCTATACTTTGCTGCTAGCAATGAGACGCTGACCTCGGCATGACCGATGCCGACGACGATGAGTTTATCATGAATCTGCTTCGCTTCCCACTTTGCGTCGCGCTGCAAGCTATCACCTCTTTCAACACCAGTTCCTTGGAACTTGTTATTCAATTCATATATTGCGATCAACCCTTTAGCAAACAGCCTTCTCGTGGCATCGGGTGTTAGTAGTGCCAGCCATGGCAATTGCGAGGTGAACAACCACTCCCGGCGTATTCTGTAACCAACTCTACCCGAGTGTGTATTCAACATACAGAGTCAATATGGAATAGCGATACCAGAAGACTCTGCTATCATGTGCTTGCCAATGGAAAAGGCCACCGATCAGCATACTTTGTCCAACTATGGTCAACCAATGATTCAACTATCGAATCTCTCCCCGACAAAAAATAGAAGGAACTTTTACAGAGTGTTCTAGAAATGATCTTCCACCTCACTTTTGAATCATTACCTGGTTCAGTTCTAGAAGCTTTCTTTTGAGCTGTCGCTTCCCCGAACCCATTTTCTGGCCAATACCCAAAAATGGCGAAGGATAACAAATCTGAGACTCCCTCCGTAGCGGCCCGCACCTGTTCTGCAGTATTTGGTCTTTGGCACGCGAAGCTGGAATTGAATCTTCCTTCCCCACAGCTGTAGGGGTCCTCATCGGCCATCAGGCATATATTGCCGAACTTGAATAGCTAATACTAAATAGACGGGCTACTCTCCTTCAGCAACAACTAACAGCAAGGAGGCAGGCTCCTCCCTTCGGCTACGGCCAATAGCAAGTAACGCGGCCACTTCCCTTCGGGACGCCCCGGGTCAGCGGCTGGGCCCCAACATCCCTTACAACAAATGGTCCGGAGCATTTGTGGCTGCTAGCTCACTAAGCCGGCGCTGGAAGTGAATGAATGAGTGGTCGCGTCACTTGCTGTTGGTCGTGGCCGAAGGGGAGTGGCCCGCCTACTTGCTATTAGCTGTTACTGAAGGAGAGTAGCCCGCCTACTTAGTATTGGCTATTCAAATTCGGCAATATATACCTGATGGCCGATGAGGACCTCGACAGCCCGTACTTTGCTAATCTGTTACAGGATTGGCCCAGATTCTGACGTGGAAGTATAACGCTTAACAGCCAAACACCTTCCGAACAAGAACTTTTCGTTAGGTGCACAAATGTTGCTGATAATTACGAGATATATTAGCCTTTAGTCTTCGAGGAGCCAACTACCTCACAGCTTTGGATGTTAAAGGACAGAGCAGATATATCGTGAAGTTTCGAGCAGCGGAACTAAATAACCCTTAGGTGCTTTGTGGTTCTCTTCGATCACCGGCTATTTCAGAGAATGCGGAGGAAGATTGATTATTGTCGACTTCATTCACTTCGAAACCCACAGTGTTGGTTACCACTAAGCTTTATTCCCATTCGATAAGTGTCCACGATTTTATACTTTATGGATGCTTGAGATTTTGCCAGCGAGGAGGAAGCCAAATATGCTACTTCAGGTTGACGAGCATTCTGCCTAAAGGTAACTCGCCCTAGGCTTGCTTTCATCTTTGTCCCGGCCAACCTCTCCAGATCCAAGGTTGTCACTTTGATCAAGCCACGACCTAAAAAGCTCGTGAACAAGGATTTGTCTGTGGTCTTGCCAGGCGAGTGCCACTATTTGGCGATACCAAAGCTCATTCAGCAACACTTCTATCATCCTGCGGGGCTTATATAATATCTCGCTCGCTCCTGATCGAGAGAATATGATGGCAACTCAGCCATCACAAGCCGACCCTGAGGCTACACAAGAGGCAGCCCAGACCGGGCAGGGAGCAAACACGACAATTCTCAACTTTGTCTATCGCCGGAAGGGGCACCTAGCGGCCCGCAACGCCCAACCCGGCTCAGTCCAAGTCGAGACACGCGTCTTTGAATTGGAAAAGGACGTGGGATACAAGGCAACTCATACTCCATGAATGTGAGGTTCAACGGCCAGCATGTAACTATCGACGGCGCTCGTTAGTTCACGCACCTCCTTGACGTTGCTGGTTGCCCCCCTGACGTGAACCTGCGGGCCGTGACGAGACACCTCCCAGATTTCAACCGATATGTCTGGACTATTCTCAAAGACACCTCGGTATCTATGTGGCACATGTACTTCACGTCGACACAAGCAGTCGGCCTCTTCCGTACTCTGGGCAGCAAAATCGTTTTGAGTTATAACGACCACGCTGCCGAGCTCGAGTTCTGGGATGCGGGTACAGATCTGCTGTACTCCGCGGTACTCGAGGTACACTACGACGAAGAATTGACCATCGAGAAGATGAGTAGTTACATCGCCAAGTTTGATGCTGGAGACACACAAGTGGCTGGAATAAAACATGGCACACCAAAGCCTCCATACAGCCTCGGATTTAAACACAATATTAAAACAATCAACCTAGTAATTAATACAATATCAAGCTAAATAATATATAATAATGAATTATTTTACTGTTATTAATGAAGTATTATTAATAACAGAATGAGGTCTCCAGCTTGCACGAAAAGAGCTCTGGTGTGCCATGTTTTATTTCAGCCACTTGACACATCAAGACCTGACTTTGTAAATAACTGTTTCTGACGCCTCGAAGAGAGGAATAGACTGGGCGAGCAGCTCGCAGCTGAGGTGAATGAACGTAACAAGAAGGGCAGAGAGCGTCGGAAAGGCAACGAACTATGGTGAGGTGCCTAATGGGTCCAAGTATCTCCGCTTGGTAGACCATAGCAAAGCCTGTGCGAGCTCCTAGACAGCAGCGACAGACCATCAAACCTGACATCGAATCAGTGTACAGACCTCTGTCGGATGTCTACCTCGATCATAAACCTAAGACCTCCCGCCCGTCCACCAAGAAGATTGACAAAGTCAAAGAAAAGACAAGGGGCCAACCAAGCATGACACCCACCATCACTGAGACCGAGGAAGCAATTCCAGACGAGGATGATATCGAAGTCGAAAAGGTTCCAGTGAATGAGCGGACTCTGGGGGTATTCAGGACTCTCTTTTTTGACCCATCGACGAGAACAACACTCGGTGAAATATCGTAGAACAACTCCACCTATACATCGACTTCAACGGGACTATTCACAGCTCACCATCTATAGGCGGCGTCGGGTGTGTAAGGATTCATGATGCCGATCACTGGCCTTGTCGACGGAAGCTCGATGGGGTGCTATACGCCCTGCAATGCCGCGATGACGGGGGAGGCCATCAAGTATGCGATGGGCTATTCTGATGCTAGCCCACCCGCCTGTGGCGCCCTCTTCTTCCCGGTCATGGTCAGGAAAGACTGTGATGTCGGCGACGAGGTCGTGATGCGGACTGTGCCGAGTTCGGATGACATCTTGGCCATGGCGAACAGGTGGTCGAGGGAGAGGGCCCTTGTCTACAGCAAGGAACTCAAAAAGCCGGGGCTGCCGGCCGTTGCAGAGACTTAGTGAGGTCGAGCATGGAACTGTCGAGGGTACATCCATCGGATGATTGGCTTCAGGGAGTTGACAAAGGTTAGCCGTTGATGCAGGGTTCCATTTTCTAGTAATTCAAAGAAAATCACGTCGTCTCTTTGGAGAAAAGCCTGAATAATGTATGGGCAGGCCGGACCTGCATCACGCAACCGTGCCAGAATAGCCTGTTCACGAGCTAGTCGTTCGTCTCCTGGCTCGAGGCTGACCTTGGCTGCAATCCCTGGAGCAACCTTGAGAACAACTGAGTGGCCACCGATTCCCCAGACGCATGACCCAGGGCAAGCTTGGAGCAGATGTTGAATGATGGGGCTCAGTTTTCGAGATGCATAGTAATTGCGAAGCACGTCATAGTTCCACTGAAGGCCAGTCATTATACAGAGGTCAAAAAAGGAGAGGGATGGCGTGGGGCAAATGATTTAATTGGCAGGTTTGGCAGCGAGCGAAGGAGCAGCTATTTATAGGTAACAACCATCCTCACCTTTGAAATGCTGACTAGGGAACTCTCAGGCAGTGAAACACCTGAAAAAAAACACTAGGCAGAGGGACGAACGACCCAGGAACCGCCTACAATCACATGGCGCTGATTCGCGACACAATCATCACACGGGTCTCTCTTCCGTGTGCTTCCAAGGTAGTTATTCCTGGGAACGCCTCCTGTAACGTATGGGTCCTGGTTGCAGGACCTCGTTGGCGCGAGCATGTCAGGGCTGCCGTGGCCACAGAGCATCGTCACTGGGGAGATATCAATCCAGCACATTCTTGGCGACTCTACTGTGTGTTCTCTCAGCGCTATTACTCTCACCAATGCGAAGACCAAGAGTGAATGACAAGGGAAAACATACGGCTTACCTGTATTGTAGGAATGAATCTCGTTTTTGTTCTTTGAAGCAAGTCAAACCAGTTCGTGTGTGTCGTGCGATGGTTGTTGAATCAACAGGATGAACGCACCATTAATATAGTTGTAATAAAAACGTCACAGCTATTGTGATGTTCTATTTCTTGTGCATATACAACTGTAAGGATCGGTCATAAGAGAGCTTTGCAGACACATTGCCACAGGTCCATTGCGATGCTTAATCTGACTGGACTCAACATTCACACATGCACATCGAGTGCAACCAACCATCAATGAGCCCTTACAATCACCGCGTAAAAAGGGAACAATTCACTTTTCTAAACATCCAACAGGTCCTCGTGGACTACAGAGACAATCTTCAAACTCACCATCTGTCAGCCGATGATTGAGGCTAACGTCTACACGTAGCGGGTTAGAGTGCACATAGACAGACCTAGTATTCTCTGACTCGTGATGCCACTCAACTCAACTACACATTTTCGACATACTTGTATTGATTATCTAGCTGCCATTGATTTAAAAACTGCAATAGAAGAACATCGAGGTCCGATGGAGGAGTCAGCTACTACTTCTCCATACAACGCACCTGGATGCATTATTCGGGAATAATATGTGGGTGGGCCAATCTGCCTTTTTTAGCATCCTGTTTCCCAGGCAAGTGGCTGAAATAAAATATGGCGGGTCTTTTCGTATAAGCTGGAGACCTTATTCTGTTATTAATAATATTTCAAATAATAACAGTAAAATAATATATTATTATATATTATTTAGCTTAATATTATATTAATAACTAGATTAATTATTTTAATACTAAAGAGAGTTTTAATAAAAAGTTAAAATAAAAGAAAAAGTTAAACCTAATAACTTAATATAATAAATATAAAAAATTTAAAAATTTAAAAAATTTTTACTAGCCTAAGGCTATAATTATATAATAGAAAATTCTATAAATCTTTATACTAATAACTTACTTACTATTAGAATAAACTATATATTAAATAACTATTAAAACTACTCTTTTTATCTAGTTTTCTATTATAAATAAAGATCTCTATAATAGATTATATAGTTATATATATTTTACTATCTAAAGAATAGAAATAATAAAAATATTATACTTTTATTATAAAAATATAACTAGATTACTAGGAGTAATATACTTCTTATATTTTATAACTATTATATATATATATTTATTTTACTAAATAGAATACTTTTTTAGATAATTATTAATAATATTATCTATATATCTATTATTACTAGCTTTATAATATTTATATATTAATAATAACTTATATTATATAATCTAAAATAATCTAATTATTATTATTATTTATTCTAGATACTAGATCTAGCTAGACTTTAGTCTCTTTTCTTTATTACTAATAGGGAAAAACTTTATATATAGAATAAAAACTTATTCTATTTATATATTATATAGCTTTATATAGAAACTAGTTTAGCTTTTTATTTTCTACTTTCTATATTATATATTCTTTATTTTTATTTTAGTTTTTATTTACTAATTAGTATTAATAGAATAATTTTTAGTTTATATTCTATATAGATATAATATAATTCTATTTATATATAATTCTTCTATAGTTTTTTATATTAATTTAAATAAAAGTTTTATTATATAGTATAACTAAGTATATATAAATAGGTATTAGGTTAATATTAAATCTATATTATTCCTAATAAAAATTTCCTATAGTAGTAAATATATACTATACTTACAGAGGTAAATTAATATATAACCTTAAAAATAACTAACTTTTTTATTCCTGAATATATATAATTCTAGATTAAACTAAAATAAACTCTAATATATCTTAATCCGAATTATACTATCCTAAAATAGAAAAAGCTTAATTTTAATTAACTCTTAAGGGCTATCTCTACCCTGATTAGTTTAAGGTAGTACAGAATATACTGGAACTATAAAGAAAACCTCAGATTATAATATATATAAATAAGCAGGTAGCTGTAATTAAGATATAGCTTTTAACCTAGCTATATCTTATCCGCTTTAAGTACTAATAGTATATAGCAGCTACAGGCTATATAATATAAGGACAGACCTAGTAGGTATAGCTGCTGGATCTAGGGTATTATTAGTAGCTTTATTACTATAAGTAAGCTCTTAACTATTCGGAGAGGTATATATTAGATATACTTAGTTAAGAGCTATATATTATTATCTCTTATAATCTCTATTATCTTATTAAGATCTATATTATTTATAGTAACTAAAGCCCTATAAGTAGAAATAATTATAGAAGATAATATATTATAGATACTTAGTATTAATAATATAATTAATTAATTAATTAATTAAGATAAACTTTAAGTTAGAAAGGAAAGATAGTAATTATTATTAGATAATAAGCTTTCCCCCTTAGGGGCTATAGCTATAGCCGGGCTATTTATATATCTGGCTATATAAATAGCTCCTATTATTAGAGTTTTTAAGATATTAATACCTATACCCAGACTAAAAGTATTTAATCTTAACTTTATCTTATAGTATTAAAGATTCAGGTATAGACTACTAATTATATTCTTAGAAAAATTATATAATCTAGTTATATATTATCTGATCTTAGGATATACCTTTATTTATAGTAAAACTAATAAAAAAAAAAAAAAAAAAAAGTTTATTTTCTTTAATTTAATTAGTTAATAATTTTTCTAGTATTTATTTTTAATTTTCTATTTAAAAAATATTTAAATATAATTTCTTTATTTTATTTATTTATTAAATATCTAGCTTATAATCTAACTTATAATCTATAGTTCTAGTATATAATATACTAGATTAAATTAATTAGAGCTAAAATAGCTCTTAAAGTTAAATAAAAATCTATTTTTATTAGTATTATTAAGTAAATAAAAGAGAATTAAATAGAATTAAATTATTAAAAAGTTTATTAAATAGAAAAATTAAATTAAATAAAATTAATAAGATAATATTTAGAATATAATAAATTAGTTTATTATATAGTATAACTAAGTATATATAAATAGATATTAGATTAATATTAAATCTATATTATTCTTAATAAAAATTTCCTATAGTAGTAAATATATATTATACTTATAGAAATAAATTAACTTATAATCTTAAAAATAACTAACTTTTTTATTTCTAAATATATATAATTCTAGATTAAATTAAAATAAACTCTAATATACTAATACTAAGCCTAACCTAATCTAACTAATACCCTGATCTAAATATAACTAAAAATAATATAAAGCTTAAATAATTAATTTTTAAGAGCTATCTCTACTCTTATTAACTTAATATAATATATAATATACTAAAACTATAAGTTATATATCAGGTTATAGTAGATCTATATAAGAGGATAGCTATTCTTAAGATATAGTATTTACTTAAGCTAATCTTAATTCTCTATAAGTATCTATAGTAATTACTAATAGTAGGCTATATAGTAAAATAATAATCTGAGCAGATATAGCTACTAGACTTATACTATTAAAAGTAGCTTTATTACTATAAGTAAGCTCTTAACTAATTAAAGGGATATATAATAAATATAATTAGTAAATAGTTATATTAGATTACCTTAGATAATAGTTATTATTACTTTAAGGATCTTATTAGTAGTATTAAATAGGCTCTAAGAGATTAGAATATTTATATTAGATATTATAGCTATTTAAGATATCTAGTAATTAATTAATTAAGTAATTAATTAATTAAGATAAGGAAAGGTAGTTATTATTATTAGATAATAAGCTTTCTTCTTTAGAGGCTATAGCTATAATCAGGCTATTTATATATCTAGCTATATAAATAGCTCCTATTATTAGAGTTTTTAAGATATTAATATCTATATCCAGGCTAAAAGTATTTAATTTTAATTTTATCTTATAGTATTAAAGATTCAGATATAGACTGCTAATTATATTCTTAAAAAATATATATTAAATTATATATTATCTGATCTTAGAATATATCCTTATTTATAGTAAAACTAATAAAAAAAAATAATAAATTAGTTAATTATTACTATAGAATTTTAAAGAAAATTATAATAGCTAATTATAAAATTACTATATACTAATTAAAGAAATAGATATAGTTTTATATAGTAGATCTAATAGTAGTATTAATACTTTAGTTTTAATTATTCTTAGTAATATAATTCTATATACTCTAGTTATAACTTAAAAATACTTTAATTACTATTTAATTAGATTTTTTACTAAGCTTTATAGTTTTTTTTCTTTTTTTATTAATTTATAGAAAATTAAAACTTTATATATTATTATAGATTTTATAATAACTTTATATATTACTCTTATATACTAATAGAAATATCTATATATAGATAATATAATTCTAATTAGAACTAATATTTATCTTTTAAATTCCTTTAGAGCTTTTTAATATATATTTTCTATTAGAGTTTTCTATTAAACTAAACTCTAAGGAATTTAATTATTTTATTTAGTTTAATTTATATATTTTTAATCTAAATT